GGGCGGTGGAGGGAGGAAATGTGAGAAGAAGGAATAACAAAAAGGGAGCCAGGAAGAGGGAAAGGAAGGAATAGCAAATAAGAGCTGAAGAAAGTTATAAAGCAAAACAGGGTCTTCAAGCAGGTACGGCGAGGAGGCTCAGAAACAGCTCACAGCCACGGCGAGGAGGCTCAGAAACAGCTCACAGCCCAGTCCCCTGGGCAGCCCCAGCAGAGAAAATGAGGCTTTGCAGAGACCCTCCCCAAGCCTTTACACTCTCAGAGGTGCTGGCAGCTCTCCTGCATGCCCCATTCTGCATAAACCTGCACACCAGGTGCCTCCCAGGCAAATTCTCACCACAACAAACACACGAGTGCACACACCGCTACATGCATGTGCAAGTGTCAGACACACACCCTGACGTGTGACATCCATGCTGTGCACCTGCTGTGCACCAGCGGGCTCTCCCCATGCCTTCCCTGCCCATGCAGCACCCACACACCCAGCTCCAGCTCCACTCCCTCTTCAGCTGGCTGCAACACAAGGCTTGTGCTCCGTGAAAAATGCCGAGGTTTGGCCATGTGTGTTCACTTTTTTTTTTTTTTTTTTTTTTTTTTTTTTGGAGGTGCAGGGGAAAGAATCCAGCAGAAAAATGAATAGCTGGGGTAATTTCCGAATGCTGCATGTGCTTGGTTTGCAAATGGGAGGGTCCCATGTGCTGGTACACCTCCTGCTAGCAGAGCCGTGGCAAACGTGTTGCTCTCAGACCAAAAGGGACATACAGAGCTACTGCCAAGTGTGTGCCTGATACACCATGTTTTTAAAGCAGGATATGCCAACCTATCCTCCGGGAAAGTCAGCCACAATCATAAAAGTCCCTCGTAGTGAACTTCATGCTCAACACACTTCTGCCTGGTTATAATGGACAAAAAATGGCTTGCAACAGAGGTTTTCTAGACTTTTATATACATTTCTGTAGCCCAGAAAGGGTAGGGAACTAAAGGGTGAGAGGCCTGGTAACTGCATGTTGGGATGAAGAAGCAAAAATGGTTTAATTTTCCATTAAAATCTCTCCCCATGAGCTGTGCAAACTTTCTCCTGCTAGAGAAATGCCATGCAAAGGGCAACACATTGCTGGTGGCACTCTCCCACATGGACAGGAACCACAGGCCTGAGCGAGAGGCCCAGCCAGCAGCCTGCGGAGGTGGGTTTGTGCACATGGGCTCCCGGGGAGCATGTCCTGACATCTGAGCACCACAGTGGAGCCACGAGGACCTCAGGAGGTCATCCTCTGGTGTCAGACCTCCTCTGTGGGCACCCCAGGGGACACAGCTCATTGGGAACAGCTGGAGAGACAAGTGCCATTATTTCGAGGCCTACCGCATGTGCATCTCCTTCAGCATGTAGACCGGCCTTTTGGGAATGCCCACCTAGTGCCACTGGCTGTTACCATCTCCTGTTAAAACACCACTGCTTCAGAAATGCCCCCATCTCCTTTCTCCCCATATTTTCCTTGAATCTTTTGGCTTTCCCAACGAATAACCAGAAAAGCATAGGGCATGGTGCATGCATTGAGGGGACAACCAATGTGAAACAGAAAGGAAATGACAGGAGCATGTATTGGGCACGCTCTCTGAAACCAGCAGTGCAGGTTGAATTTGCTTTGTTTTTAGTCTTCAACCTGTTCTTGTTTGGTCATCACAGGTGGCAGCAAAGCCGAGACGATGCTTTGGATACACACGGTCATTTTTGCTAGGAGAGATCACTGGGGAGCTTACATGTCAGGGCAGGAGCGGAAAATTGCTGGCTCTTGTGCCGAGACTTTCTTGTTAATCCAAGCAATTCACCCACAAAAAACCCTAATGACTTCAAACCGGAGTCCAGTGGGGCCCCAGCATCCTCCAGCCATAAACAGAAGAGAGAAATGGATCTGATAAAGAGCAGCCTGTCTGGTAGGCTTGGAGGAATGTTAAGTGCGTAGTCCATGGGAGCGGGAACAGGCATGGCAGAGCACAGATCTTGGCTCCGGGGCTGATATACCACAGATTGTGCACATCTTTCTCTCCTGCGGGTGAATGATTGTCCCCCCGGCTGGTGGGGAGCGGGTTCCTCCTCCAGCCTAACCTGGCCTTCAGCTACGACACACCGTCCAAACGTTTCCAGACTCCAGCAGCAGCCCATACGAAGCGAAGGAGCTTGGCACCTTGGGAGGTGTGGCCCACGGCCTTCATTCCTGATGTTATTTGGTTCCCTAATTTTGGAAAGAGCAGTGGAAACAATTAGGTCTCTTAATTTCTCCGAGGCAAGATCCAAATACAGAAAAGAATACATCTCCCAGGCAGGGAGAAGCGGGGAATTAACTGCCTTTTTTTGGATGAGATCAGAGAAAGCTGATTTATGAAGCAAAGAGAAAGCAAAGTGCTTTTATGGGTAAAATGTTCCCTGCTTATTTCCTTTCTGTCAGACTACGTTCCTCCCACGCTTCTGGCTGCAAGCTTGCTCCTTGGAAGCCTGTTTAAGCATTTCAGCATGTGCTGATTTAACTGGGCAAGGATTCTGACAGATCTTTGCAGAAAACATCACAGGAGCTGCTGGAGGTGACTGCCTAATGCTGACCTGGGGCACACCGAAGAGGACCAGGCTGGCGAGCAGAGATGCAGCCAGCTTCATGCCCTTGCAGCTCCCCCAGAGCATCAAGCTCTCAGGAGATGCTCCTCCTGCTCTGCTGGGTCGGGGTGTATCTCCCCACCTGCTTTTTCTCCTCTTGAGGAGTTAGAGGCGAGTCCAGTCTATGAACAGGGGGGCTGAAGCCTCTCTGAGACCGGGGGCGTTTGGTTCCAGCTCAGCCAGAGCGAGTGAAAGCAGAACAGGAGAGAAATTCAAGCGGGTGGGTGTGGAATGAGAAAGCTTGTGCGAGTGAGTTTCCACACACGGGGCTTTCAGCTCCTGCCAACGTACACACGGGACGGATGAACTCAGGGGAACTCAGAGAGGCTTGTGTCTGCTAAGGGAGGCCGGAGCAAACATCTGACATTGAGCTACAGGGTACCGGGGCTAAGGCTGAGGTATCTGAAATGCTGACAGTCTAGCCATGCTGCCGGCACGGTCCTGGTGACAAAGGTGTCTCTTCAGGGCCAGACTGAGCTGCAAAAATCATCTGCAGTGCAATGCCTTGCAAGCACAGCCCATTTTTGACAGAGGTAGGTGCAGGCATTGCTGGAGGGAACAGGAGCGGAGCTGTGCTGGTGTTTTATGGAGCAGGTGAGTGCAGCCTGGTTTGCACACACACTAGACTGTCCTGCAGGGGTGTGCCAAAGTCTTGTGCCAGCGGCTGCCACCCCTGCTCAGGTACCACCTGCTGATGAGGTGTCCCCCAGAAAGGACACCTTAAGGAGGCTGTAAGGGACAAGAACAGCCCAACACCTGGCATACCCTCACAGCATCAAATCAGCAGAGGGGACGAAATGAAATTATCCCCCCTCGAAGTCAGGCAAAAGAGGGAAATATCATTTAATAACAACCACAGTGATGTCTAGAAGACCCCGTGCTCAGACCCCAAACTGCGGTAGGTTTACAGGGAGGAGGAGGGGGGTAGGGAAGAGAAAGCCCCACAAATTGACCTCTCTCCCCCCTGCCCCCGCCTCTTTCTTTAAATCCCCACCTAGTCAGGAGTGCTCATTAAGGATGGCTCTCGTTTCCCTAATTAGGCTGCCCCCTTCTCTTCACGGGGCTCCAGACCTCTGCCATTCAGCAATAACAAGAATAACAAGAAACTCGTTATTTTACAACCTGGGCCGGGGAGGAGGGGCGAGGGGGAGAAGATGGGCTTTGTGATGGGCTGCTGGGAGGGAAGCCAGCTCAGAGGAACCTGGGGGCTGCGGGGAGGGCGTTTTTAAGTGCAAAGTGACATTTAGGCACGGGGAACTCGGGTAGGGACAAAGCTATGCCAGCCCTGGAGGTGTGGCGAAGCGCTCAGAGGTCCTACTGAAGGACCAGGTTGGCGCATGCTTTGCATAGCATCCTGCCCCGTGCCCAGCCACCACGACCCCACATGTGTTTAAGTGTTTTTCTGGATGAAGGGGGGAAAACAAAAAAAAAAAGCAATGCTCGCCACCTTGCAAAATCAGCCCCTCCCTGGACCATTTGGAATGAATTTTGTCAAGAACAGCTTATCGTCTCCATAAATTGTCACAGATCCATGCTATTTTGCAGAGTTAAACATTTCAACATTTTATCCACATTACCAATTAAGCCATCTTTGCTCAATTTATGCCTCATTTAAATAACTTATTACATCAGATATAGCTTTTTTATAGTTTGGTTTTAAGTCTCTTTCTCATACTCTCTTTAAGACTTGTCTAAGTCTTTCAAGATGTTCTTTAAAGCCCTCAGACCAAATTAAAACATCATTCACTGGAGCTTCGGCACTTAGCAGTTTCTCACAGATCTGGCAGTTACCCTTTGAAATACCTCGGGAGCAGAACAAATGCCAAATGGTGTCTGCCTCAACTTATACAGGAACGTTTTCAAGCACGAACGTCGAGTTATGCCTCAAAATAGGTGCAAGGCGTGCGAGCCAGCAGCCCTGATTTTTCTGAGGTGACGACCGTCCTGCAACAGTGTCCTGAAGGATTTATGATATCAATTACTTGGATTTTGCCTCCGAGCCTTTCTTACAATGATGGGTCATATTGTTTTCTAAATTCATGCTCATGCCTTAACTCAGTTGCATCTGCTAACGGGTTCAGATTGCCCTGATTGTAAATAGGCAAACAAATATGTATCTGCTGGGACCGAGGTTGACTGTGCCAAACCCTCTGTAAGCCCTCTTCTCTTCTCTTCTTCCCACAAAGAGAGAAAAAAAAGAAAAGAAAATCACATCCCCCCCCCCCAAAAAAAAAAAAAAAAAAAAAAAAAAAAGTAGAGCAAGGCAAATTGTTTCAGCTGAAAGTTTTCTCATGGTAGGTTTTTTTGTGCCACTCCCACCCCACCCCCAAAAGTTGGGCCACCTGAAACATTTAGCAAATTTGCAAATTCTCCCACCAAGAAATGTTTGGTGAGGACTTGGGCTGGAGAGGAGGCATCTTATGGCTTTGTGGATGGCCTGAGCTGGTGGAGCCTGCTCCAGCCTGTGGAGACGTTCAGTATCTTCAGGACTTTGCCTTTTCCTCATGGTAAAATACATTTTTTTCTTTCCTGGTTACTCTGGCCCCTCTGCCCAGAGGAGCACTTGATGTTTTGCCTGTGCTGGGGCTGGGAGATGTCTTGGCCACGGTGGGAAGGAAGAGAGTGCCTTGGATTGCACATCTGGTTCTGCATCTCCTCTCGCTCCTCTGTTTCAAGCAGAAACACATGGCAGGTATCTTTACAAGCTCAGCGTATCTGTGTTACACCAAGTGCATCTGCAGTTGCACTTGGAGGGGAGCCCAGAAGTTGCTTTCCATGTTAGGCTTGCTGTCTTTACCAGCAGTGGATGTGGGAAGGTGGAAGGGTCCCAGTGTGCCCCAGCACCCCCACTGCTGTCCCCACACTGCTGAACTGGTGCCTTGAGATGAAGGTGGGGAAGACCCTGGCTTCAGACAACTGAGTGGCTTCTCCACAGAAGCAGAGAGCCATGTGTGAGTGCTATTGACTTGCACCTCAGGGATATTACAGGCTCCTTTACTTGCTGAAAGGGGCGATGGAGGAAAAAGCCCCATTTTCTTTCCCCCGCCCCACTCTGTCCCTGTTGCCCCGGCTGCATTGTCCCCTTTTGTCCCCGAGAAGCACGCGTGTCCGGTAGCACTGCAGTTATTTTTAGGACAGCTTGGCCAGCATCCACGCTGGTGGTGGCTTTGGTGAGCCGGGAGAAGCCGACTTTTCTCTCTCTGCCTTTCAATGTTTGGAAACAGTGAGGCTGCCAAGGGAGCCCGTCTCCTGCTCTGCACTTCCAGCCTCTGGAAAGCGAGAGTGAGCCCTGAAAAGCCTGGCAGGATGGCCGGGCGAGCGTGCCAGGGAGCCAGCAGCGCGGTGCCAACACCATCGGCCCTTCTCTGCGACCGGCCAGAGAAAGACAGAGCTGGAGAGTGTGTGTGTGTGTTTGGGGGGGGTGAACGGGAAGCAGGGGCGGAGGGAGAGGCTGGAAAAATTGCACAAGGCTCCTCAGGGGGAGACTTTTCATTTCCTGCGCCTGGCTTTCTGCGTTGGGCATGAAGGCAGCTGGGGAGGGGGCCAGCATCAGCACGGCGGATGGAGCGGGGAGGTGGGGAAAGACAGCAGTCTTCCCCAAAAATGGTGCCCTTGGCCTCCTGATGCCTGGTGAGAAGGGACAAAGGCATCCTTAGGTAGGTCAGCAGTGAAGAGCTGGACGCTGCAGTGCTGGGGACACAGAGGATGCTTTGTACCTGAGGTGCTCCTGGTGGAGCAAAGACCGAGGTGTAGTGCAGCCTGCTCAGCCAGCCCGTGCTGTTTTTGCCCCAGCTACTCCAAATCTCGCCTCTGAATGAAAGTGTATTTTCTTCTGGTGTTTAAAAAAAAATCATAATAAAGGAGCAGAAGGCGTATCTTTGTACCAAAAGCACTGCGGATACCCCATGCCATGCTGTCGGGCTCCCCTCCCGCCCCGCTCTCCTCACACAGCGGGATTAATCCATCAGCCCGCGCCACGGAGGAGGAGGGGCGAGGAGCCCGCACTCCAGTGAGCACTGGAGAGGCCCCCATTCATGGGTCAACAAAACCGGGGAGGACTCTTGGACTTAATCAGCCAAGGAGCGCTCCAGCCCTGCAGACAATTAACATCAAAGCAGGGCAGGAGGGAGAGGAGATGGGGCAGAGGGGAAAGCCTGCAAACCCGTGTGTAAATCCCCTTTGAAAGAGAGGGAGGAGGCCGGGGCGGCGTGCAGGATGGGGAAGCTGAGGTGCGAGGCCGTGGCCTTGCTGGGGACAGCCTCCCAGCTTCCCCACACTCCTCCCCAAAACCTCTCGCTGAGGCCCTGCCTCGCTCAGAAGGCTATTTCCAACAGGCCTGTCATAACCCACATAAGCAGGGAAAAAATTGTTAATATTTTGTGACTAGAGAGAAGCTCCTGCCTCTGTGGTTGTGTGAGCACGGCAAACTCAATGGAGAGGGGTGCTTGGAAGGAGAAAGGCTGGTGGAGGAGGCCATGGGGCCTTTTTCTGGCACTCGTGCTGCAGGCTTCCCCCTCGGCGGGCCTCCCTCTGCAGAGACCTTTCCACACCTCAGGAGCACCATGAGGAAACATAAGGCTGCTGGCCAGCCCTTTCAGTTGTGATTTACCATCTTCTGAGTGGCTACGTGGGGACTGAGTGGAAAATCGTATCCGTGCCACAGCTTGACAGCTTATTCCTTCTCCTCAGCCTCACGCCGTTTTGGGCTTCTCCTGCCTGGAGCTTCATGACAGGTATTGCTGGTGCTGTGTTGAGATGTTACAGCCCACGTAACAGCTTCATCCATGACGAGGGTGGTGTTATCATTACGTCAGGGCTGCCAAAACACTGCTGCCAGCAGCTGGGTCTGTGGGACTTGCTCCTGCAGTGGCAAAGCACCAGTCCTTGCAGCTCAGAAGCTGGCACCACAGCTCTGTTCTTCTAAAATTTACCTAGGGGTGTGTATGCATCGTGGTGATTAGGATGAACGCCTCATTTCGGGGAGCAGGGAGTTCTGGCTCATGCTTTTTGAAGAAACCACACAGAGACACAACCCTGTTACAGACTGTGAAGAGAAATCAGGGGAGATGGAGCACGCAGAGTAACTTCTAGAGCATTTCTGAAGGTGCTTTCTGAAAAGCTTTTATTATCTCTTTCACCATGAGAATGGTAGCCCCATCCCTCTGTACATCCCAAGAGCTGATCACTGCAAGCCTTGCTGTTTGGGGACAGGAGCTGATGAGCTTTCCTTTCTCCATCCATCCTGATGCTGGTCTCCAAGCTGTGAGTAGCCAAGCAGGACAAGGACAGGGCTCTGTGCATCCCTCAGAGAACAGGACTCTAAGGATGGGCTCAGGCCAAGGCCCACTCCTCCAGGTGGGTTTGTGGGTTTGTGCCGGGGTGGTTATCTCAGTGTGGGTACATCAGCGGCTGGCTGGCAGGCACAGGAGCAGCTCTCGGGGTATCCATTACATCTTAATTGTAGCTGTCTGGCCATGAGGAAGGACAGGAAGGTGAGTGCAGGGCCAGCCTTGGCTTTTGTTTCATGCACTGAACTTTCAGGCGCCTCTTTCCTTTCTTCCACCCACCCGTTTTTCCTCGGGTAGAGCTACTCACACCACGCGTACTCCTGTTTTGTCCCGCCGTGGCTCTTCTCCAAGAGCTGTTTTTTTGGGAGGGGGGAGAAGGGGTTGCAATGAGGTAAAGCAGCGTAATGCATTCCTGCACCTTCCTCCTCCTCTGTGCCGTCTCCTGAGCATCCCTCCCTCTTCCTCAGCAGGTACCTGTGAAAAGTGACCCTGTCAACAAAACCCCAGCAGGACTGGCCTTTGGTCTCGCTCAGGCAGCTGGTTCCCATTAAATGTTCTCAATCACGGAGAATTCTTTCTCTCATCTGAAATATTTTATTATTGCTTTTCCTTTCTCCCAGTTTCCTAAGGAGAAGGGAGGGGGTGTGAGTGCAGTGAACTAAAGGAAGGGAATGTAAAGCTTGATCTTATCACTCCCATGTGGAGGGCCTGTGAGCTAGCCAGCAGCTGGGACATGTATTCCCTCTCTTATGTGCACAATGTATTCCTCCTCATCTTTTCATCCCCCCAATGCCCCAGGTAGGGTCAAAACAGATGAGAAAAGCTTCTGTTACCCTGAGCACAAGTCTCTCCTGCTGCTTATGTGCAACTAAGTGAGTCCAGGAGTTAAAATGGGTTGGGTTACCCATGGCAGGAGGCTGAGGGGACAAATATGAGCATGCTGGTTTTGCCTAGGCGCGACAGCTTTTGGAGTAAGAGAGAAATATTTGGCTGGACTGTTTGCTGGTACCCTCTCTCCTGGACCAACATCGTATTTTTCCCCTTTTTGCTTCTCTACAGCAGATGAGGGTGAGGTGAAGGGTGTGGGAACAGCTCAAGAAAGGGAAGGAGAACAGTAACAAGGAGGCACATGTTTTTTGTCTGGCTGGTAAAGAGGGTAGGAGTGCTTCTCCTTGTGAAGAGAAGGAAGTGTATGACTGCATAAAACCACCATTTTGCCAGGACTGACTCCAGTGTTTAACATCTTAGGTAGGTTTGCTGCAGAGCTGCCATGGCCCAGAATGACAGAAATGGGCACGTACATTTTCACGAGTCACTTTCCAACCTCTGTTGCCTTGGGAAGACAAAGAAGACGTGAAGTCCCACCTTGTCCAATGAGCAAATGCCTGTGCTTGGTCTTCTCCTCTGGAATTTCAGCCATTTGTCTCTGCTGTTCGTCTCTATCCTGCTGACTGACTGTGGCCTGGTGCGCTGCCTGCAATGTTTCTCTTGGGGCCAGAGACACGTTTCTCCTCACAGCTCGTTACGAGGAACTGTCATATCATCTTCAGCCATCTGAGAAAGTATCCTCAGTATCCTCATCTCCTTGCTCGCAACTGACTTGCGAACAGCTTCCCTGTTGGGCTGGATGGCGAAGGATCCTGCAGCTCTCCTGCCTTAGCATGGACACATGAGAAAGAAATCAGCCCTGAGTGCTTCACAGTAGGGATGTAGAGCTGGAAGGGATCCCCTATTTTACCACGTCTCGTCCCTTGCTATTGTCAGCAATCGCATAATGCAATCATTCTCACAAACGCGAAGCTCCAAACAATCCTAACAAGTTTTAAGATTCTCCCACTACCCCAATTAGTTGGCTATTCCAGAACTTGACAGCTCTGAGGCTTCAGCCATTCTTCTTATTTCCAGTCTCAATTTATTCCTGGCTGGAGCATGCCCACTTGTTCTCCTGCCAACATTGTTCCCAAGCTTAAATAGCTCTGCTCCCTCCCTGGTGCTCGTCCCTCTGATGTGTTTACCAAGAACAATCATATCCATTCTCAGCCTGCGTTTTGCTGGGTGAAATAAATCAACGGGTTCCTATCCTGTGATAGGCACCCTTTTCCCCTGACCATCCAGCTAGCCTTTGTCTGCACCTCCTCTGCTCTCAGCTCTTCTCTTTCCAGCACGGGTGGTGAGAACCACAGACCATTCTCCACTATCTGTGCCTGGGGCAGGGACTCAAGTAGCTCCGGGATTTCTGATGGTGCCCCGGAGACAGAAGGTCCAAGCATGGGGCTTTTTATAGGCACAAACTGCTTTTCCCAGTGGATTTGGTTTTCAACCCCCTAGTGCTGTGGGATGCAACCTTATCTCGGGGTGGTTTTCTTGACACTGCTATGGAGTCAGCGGTCCCGCTTGGCTCTGAAGCTATTGTTGCTCAGCTTTCTATAAAACATGCAATGCTTGCTTGCAGAACCGTAGGTATAAAGTTACTCTTGAGGTTTTGACTCATTTGGTGGCACTGGCTGTTAAAGCTGGGTCTCCGATTTCCCAGTGTAGTGAGGCACCCTGAGTCGTATCACTGGATAGCTTTAGCAGAAGGTTTTGTTTATCCTTCTTTTTATTTTTTTATTTTTTACAGAGCAATAGGTCCGCATACTTTATTTTTTTTCTCCCTGCGATGCTTTCCTGGACAGTCTGAATTCCTGTCAACAGGATATTGAGAGGCCCAGATAAAATTATATAAGTGTGTGTGTGCTTCTCACATAATTTACTATGTATCTGACCCTCTACCTCTCCTATAACACTTCATTTTTTCCTCTTGTGAAAGGTGTGCAGAGTGGAGATGACAGATTTTAGGCTGGGATACTCTGCAGCAGAAAGAAACAAATAGATCTACTTTTCAGTTAAGCCAAACCTGGGCTTCAGGGAGGAAAAAAAAAAAAAAAAAAGGAAGAAAAAAGAAAAAAGCCAATTTCAGCTTCTCAAAGTGTAGGAATTCAGCCATGCTCCTCATTACTGTACTCTGTGGCTCATCCTTTACACACAGGGTACTCTCCTAGTACCATGCCTTTTAGATTTGAGGAAGGCAAGCAGTTGTGCAAGTGCATTGCAGTATTATTTTAGGAGCTGGAGTTAGAAGTGACTAGCTGAAAGGGAGATGTGCACAGGCTACAGTCCTCGGGGTGCAAAGTCTGCCTCTGGGTGCCTCTCACCAGCTCGTAGTTGTGTTTTCTTACGTGCTGTTATAAGGGTGCCGTAAAGAAATCTGAGTTTTGCCCTGTATATCTCATTTTTGGTGTGCAGTAGGCTTTTCTGGATATGTTGTCAGGACTGTGAATTCATGCAGGTGTTTTACTGTGACCCTGGAGGTTCAGAAATAACAGTGCCTGACGCTGGCAGAGAGGTGCTGAAAGGCACTGCACCCTTTCTGCCGCCTAAGAGGCTCTGGATCACAGAAGTCTGCCCTTACTGATAGCTGTCCATCACCTTCATTCACTTCAGTTTTGTACATCTGTAACACCACTGCTTGTGTCTTGTCAGAATCCTATATTCTGAATATTGGGACCCAAGATCTCAGCAAATACTCAGCAATGTAGAAGCAGTGCAGCACGGAGATCTGCCTCCTGGTGAATTGGCTTTACACTTGAGGAAATGGACTCTGTAAGCAAGCACCCATGGGATAAATTAATCTGGGTTCTCCCTGGTGCTACACAACTCCAGGTTTTGCACCTTCTGTCTGCACAGGGAGGCTGAGGTAAAACAGGAAACAACTACTCAAAAACCTGAATCTTTTTCTCCCCTGAAGTCTTTTGTTCCTGAAGCCAAAGCACAGTAAATCAAGGGGTTCTGCCTGATAGGCAATTAAAGTGGTCTTTAAAAAAAAAAAAAACACAACCCCAAAAACTACCAACTCCCCAAGTCCCAGAAAGGAAGAGGAGGAGGAGGAAAAGATGGGACCTCAGAGAGGCTTCATAAATCACGTTGCAATGGACCTGGTGCAGATGTTCCTGCACTCAGCCCACCAGGCATAGCGCAGCACCATAATGGGACTGAACAGCCACATGTGAAAGCAGACAGAAGACAGCTGACTTGGAGGAGACGTGCTCTCTCTGGCACATATAACACATGCTCGGTCCCTGCCCTGGCCTCCCTCGGTCCCTCCTGCCAAAAAATAAACAAGCCAGATCAAACCTGTCATGGTCTGGAAGTCTTCAGCTATCCCTTTTATTGTAACGTGGTGTGCAGTGGTCTAGTTTCCCAGTGCTTAATGCCTTGGCATAGCACTGAAAAAATGTCTCGATCTCCGGATCTGGGACTGTGGCTTCCCACCTGGCTGTCCAGGCAGCACCTGGGCCCAGGGCAGCAAGACACAGCAAGGAGGTGAAGGAAAGGGATGGGAATTTCTCCACAGCCAGACTTTTCCTATTTTTTCATAGGTGGCAGGTGAAGTTTAAAGCCAGGTGTTTTGTGTATTCGGGTACCCATCTGCCAGTATCTCAGGGCACCAGCAAGTGCAGAAACGGGCAGCCACCTTGTCTTTGTCCCCTGAGAGGCACAGAAGCAGACACACATCATGTCATGTGGGCATGCCAGTGGGGAGACGTCATTTTTCCCTGCCATTATTATTTATTTTTTTCATTATTTGATTTGTCCTCATTTCAAGAAGCAGGAATCATTCTCGTTGGGTTTTGTCCTTTGTGTGAGGGAAGGAAAAGACACGTTGGGAATTCCAGCAGGCTTTGGGGCAGCCAGCACCTGGGTGGTGCATTGTCTTTAAAATGGTCTCCAAAAATAACCAGGACCGCAAAAGGGGAAAAATTAATAAGGATAATTAACTGGTTTCCATCTCCAAATGCTTTGGAGACATGAGCTAATCAGTCTGTAGACACATACAAACACACACAATGTCTGTAATTAGTTTGCTCTCCTACTTCCTTACCTCTTCCCCTAGCAGATTGCCCACCGAGATCCCTATCGGGCAGAACAGGTCTCTTTCTGCCCCCTTTGCAGAGGCCTGACAGCCTTGCCTCTGCTCATATTGCACCGTGTCTCTGTCAGTCTGTCTGTCTGTCTGCTTCCCTCCCCTGCTGGCCAAGATCAGATTTCACCAAATGAATCACAGTCTAGTGGAAACTCCCTCAGATCTTTGCCAAGAATTGCAAAGTTGATGAAAATGGGACTCACAGCCAAAGGGGATTCAGCACGGTTCCTTACTGGTTCCAACCAACTGGGTTCCCACTGCCGTTGGTTGCTTCTGGTTGTCCCGTTTCCACGTTCGGCCTGGCACATCTCCTCCACCAGGAGCATCGTTCCCAGGATTATCGAGTTCATTACCAGATGCTGCACCACACCTCCCAGGCCCTCCTGGTAGCTGCAGACCGCTCAACTCTTCCCTTCCACCTGGGTGTTTCCTGCTTGCTTTTTTTTTTTTTTTTGCAGTGAAGACCAAATGCCCACGCAGCCAGATCACCAGCATGGGTTTAACCATCTTCTCTATTGAGTAGGCATTTTTTAAAATCTGGTATAGCCTTTAAACCTTACTTCCCTCTCTGACGACTTCATGGTGCTGCTGGTTTCAGCGCTTGGTCTAGCAGAGGAGGTAGCCTCTGGCTGAGAACCACAAGTCCCCTTCCAGATGGGGCCCAGACTCCACGTGGGACCTTAGGCAAAGTTACTTTGCTTCTGACCCTCATCTTCTCCACCAGTAAAATGAGTGTAATAAACTCCCTTTCATAAAATGTTTTAGGGAAGACACTGGGTTTAGTGCTGGAGGGGTAACGCATGACAGAGAGAAACCACTGTGTGGTCTCCTGGGGCCTCCAGCACACAGAAAGGAGGCTGCTTCTTGCCAAGAAAACTCCCAAACAACCTCAAGATAACCCCCAAACACTTAGTGACAATCTTTTCCTCAGCCCCAGGCTGTGATGCTGAAGTGGACATCCTGGGGGCTGCAGCACTGAGGCCTTCAGATTCTCCATCCAGACAAAGCTGATCCTTTTGAGGAGTTACTGAGGGAGAAAGGTCCCAGTGCTTTCAGCCTTAGCATCCCATCTTTGTGATCACCTTGGGTTGGTGTTGTCCCACGTGTCCAGAAGCAAGCCTGCACCTCAGGCGGCTCCTGAGAAGCCACTGAAGAGGAAACCCTTAAAGTTTGGTGGTCGGTAGGAAGCTCTTCATCCCCAGGGCTCCAGCATCTCCAGCCCCATGAGGCCCAGGTGTGCTGCAGCTCTGCCTCCATGAGCACGAACCTTCCCCAGAGCAGGGAGCAGCTCCCGGGGCCAGTGTTGGGTTTCCACCAGGAGAAGGCAATGCTCCTCTGCCACAGGGAGGGCTGCAGGCCCTTATCACCAGCCAGCCCCTTGCTGCGAGGAGGAGCGATCATTTTCCTTTCTGGGTCTCCCCGCGCTCCCTCCAGCCCTCTGCTCTCTCTTTCCCTCTCATCTATTTCCTTTGACGCCAGGCCCAGGCCCACTGCCAAGTCTCAGATCCATTAGCGAGGTGCCTCGCTGACTGAAGCACAAATCAGGATGGATCCGGGTGCAATTAACAGCTTCTAGCACCTCATCTGGAAGGCATTAGCTTGGCTTTTGGGGGAGGGGGTTATGGGTTGGGAGGAGAAGTGAGAAATAAGAGGGAATGGATATAGATGCCAAACAGAATAAATAAGCTATTTCTGCCCCTCTTAGGAACCACCATCCAGCATCTGACAGCAGCACACAAGCAGATGTGCAGTCGCCATCAGCGGGGAGTGCAGTTACTCCCAATGATGTCCCAGAGCAACGCTTGTGGTTATGGGACCTGTAAGTACACTTTGGTCTACCTTGTCCTTGTTTTCCTGTGGTGCTCTATTCCGTCTGGCTCTCAGTGTACTAAAACCCCTAACAGCATGATGCTCCGGTGTCTCTCTTGCACTAGGAGAGCCAAGACAGACCAGCATATATTGGTTATGGTGGCCCATAGGTGTGTTGTAGACCAAGAAGCCACAGATAATACAATTCTCACCTGTACAAATACATTGGCCTTCACCCAGCCTCATACATACCATTGAGGAAACCTCTGGTAATGCTCTCAGCAGAGACAAAGGCCAGCCCCACTCCTCACCAGCTTGCTTGGGGTGCACAAATGCACAAGTGTCTGTGGCTCTCGGGCAGCCTCAGCCCTAATCTGAAGGGATAAGGCAAGCCTACTTGTGGTGTAGCCGTCACGCTCCCAGACAGGGCATGCTGTTTTCTAAAATGGTGTACACTGGGGGGAAAACAAACACCAATTGCCCTCTCCTCGTGTGGCAGAGCCTGCTAGCCTGCAAGGCAAGAGAGCCTGGGTTTTATTTATACATCTGGGTGCGATCCCAGTGCCCAGGCGCCAGCTCCCCGTGCCACAGCTCACAAGGTTTTCCACTTCCAGGGCCACCTGCTGATGGCCAGAGGCTGAGGAAGCCAAGGCGTCCTCCGAGCCAGTGATCTCATGTTATTCCTGCACAGGCAGCAGCTGGAAGTAGCTGGAGACAGCCCTCAGAGTAATTTTTCCTATGCCGGCTGTTGCCAAACGATGGTCTGTGGAGCCCTGCTGGTTGGTGAGCTCATGGAAAGCCATCTGCACCTGGGCTCGGGGGCCATCCGGCCGAAACGGTGGTGACATAGGTGCGGGGCTGCGTGGGGGAAATGTGGAGGGCTGGTATTTGTTGGTTCAAGCAGCCCGGGACGTGTTGTTACAGCCGGTGCTCTCTGTCCTGTTCCTGCTGGCAGACACACGTATGGCAAGTGGATGCAGAGGGCAGCGAGGGGGAGTGGATGCGCTCGGCCGTGCCTTGCTGCCTGCGGAGGAGGACGCATGCTCGCGCTCGGCCGGCGGCTGCCTGCACATATTCCCTTGTTTTCCCGGCTGGGATGGAGGGAGAAGGCCTGGTTTCGGTTAAGCCCTTGGTCACACGAAGATGCCTTTCCTATTACTCTTTTGTTTTCCCTTCCCAGTACCGTTCCCGTTTAACTCTTCCAGCTCTCCCCCGGGGTGCAGCTCGCCCTTCCCGAGGGATGGCCCCAGGCAGGGGCAATTCGGGAGCAAGGGGCAGTTGTGGGGGTCCAGGGCTGGAGCCCCCCAACCCCACATACAGGCTTGAAGAAGTTGGTGCAGGGGAGGATGACAGTGCTGGGAAGAGCTGGGGTGCCAGGAGGAAGATACTCCAACGCCACAGTGCTGAGCTGTGGTGGAAATACCTAATGAGTCAGTCACGGTGTTATCATGGCTGAATTTGGCTCCAAACTTCAAATCTGCGAAGGGGGAGCGCTGAGGGGGGGGCAGAAAAGAAAACATGCGAAGGCCTTTTCAAAACCAAAGACCACAAGAAAAAACTTCCTATAAACAAATCAAATGGAAATATTTTTTTAGTTCTATAAACATTTCCCCTTGAAGCGTTCAACCCAAATATTGCATCACTGTGCTAAGACATAAACAAAGCTTACAGTGAAAGAGATGCACACCAACAATAGACTAGCCTGTTTGCCTTGTCCGGGCTGTGAGAAGTGCAAAAAATAAACAAACAGGGCAAAGAGTGACAAACAGAAGAGAGAGATGCCTGAGCAGTGCTTGTCTGAGCTTTTAAGGGAGGGGAGACCCCCACCACCACCAATTCCCACTGAAGTTCAAGGAGGAAATTCGGCTCCTTCAGGGTCCTGAGGAAATCCCAGGTCACAGGACACAGGGCAGATGGGCCAGATGGCAAGGTGGCCCCAGGGTTTTCCCCAAATACATTAACCCTTTGTAGGGTTGTTTAAAAAAAATGTGTTTTACGCAAATATTTCTTGGGTAGAGATATATTAATTTTGTGGCGATGGTAATGGTGGTAGCACAAACAAAACCGGCCGAGCTGTGCAGTGTTTGATACTGATGTCGTGCTTCCCTACAGGAAGTCCAGCCTCTTGACCATGGAGAGGTTGTTGTCCTCTGAGCAGCAGCGAGCAGGCCTTCAGAAGGGGGCAGGGTCTGGGGGCCTGGTTTTTAGTTTGGATGCACTCTAGGAAGAAGAATTTGGCACTAAATGAGAAAATCTGACATCCCCCACACACCCAAGAAACGTGCCTGAGAGGCAGCAGCATCGGGTCATGCTGGGGTCTTCAGGGCTGTATTTTGCTCTATCTTCTTTGGATATAAGTACCTCTAATATGGCACAACCTCATTTCTCATGTTTTGGAGACATGCTTTGACCCCACACACGAAGATCCTCAGTGATGG